GCCTAGTTGCCGTACAGCACTGAGACCCCCAGCTCCTTGGTGAGGTAGCCCTCGAGCAGCTTCAGCAGCTGCTTCTGCACGGCCTTGTTTTCCAAGACCAGCTTGGTCAGCTGCTCCACGTCCGTCCACTCCAGGTTCTTGACGAGGGCCATGACCCCGCTGTGTAGCTTCTCCTGCTCGGCGGGCGGCAGCTCCATGAGGATCTGAGGGACGGACTTAAACTTCCCCCACGTCATGCAGGTCCCTAAGAGCAACCCGACGGCGCCCCCTGGGGGACAGGAGGTTCCGTGAGTCGGGTGTTCACAATGCTGGCTCAGAGCTCGCTGGGAGCTGGTCACAGGATTCAGGTGGCAGCCCAGGGCTCGGGCCACTGTTTGTGGTTCGGGTCACAGCCCCTGGCTCAGGCCCAGCCTTTGGTCCAGGTCACAACTGGTGGTCAAGGTCACAGCCCGTGGGGGGGTCACAGCCCATGGGGGGGTCCCCCGGGAACCTCCTGCTCCCAGACTAGAGTGAGCAACTCACCCGACCTCCAAGGACCATGGGAACCAGCCCAACCTCCCCCATTGGCAGAAACTGGTCCCCAGACGGGAGCAGAGGTGAGACCAGGGGCAGGTGCATGTGGGCGACCGTGGGCGCTTCTCCTGCACAAACTGGGGACTGGGGACTGGGGACCGGGGACTGGGGCTGGGACGGGTGCTCTCTGAACAGCTAATGTGAGCGGCCAGAGGCCTGGAATCCCAGCTCCCTCCTGACCCTGCAATGGAGACAGGACCGGGCCTGCCCAGGGGACACAGGGCACACCCCCGGGGCAGGGTGCCTTCCAGTCCGCAGGTTGGAGCCACAGGAGGGCGCCCTGCGCTTCTGAGACACAGACACGTGTGTCCCACGGGACACGTCTGTGCACAAAGGCCGAGTCTCAGACTCAGCTCCCAGCCCCTCACGCGGGTCGCAGGCTCCTGTGCGGCCCCTGGGGACCCGGGGCCTCTGTCCCCCACCCCGCAGGGCACTGCACTCACCAACGGCCAGTCCCGGTGGGCCCCCGACCAGGCCCCCGATGACGGCCCCGGTGTACATGACCGTGGCGCCACGCTGCACGTGCTTGACGGCCACCTTCATCTCCTTCTTCTTACAGAGGCTGCACAGCAGCTTCATGACATCATCCACAATCAGGGACCTATCGCACCTCAGCAACCTGTGAGAGGGAGGGTTCCACGTGTCAGTTCCCACCCAAAGCTCGCTCGTCCCCGTGTCCAGGGCGGACCCCCTGCTCCGGGAGGACCCCAGCTCTGCCGTGGGCGAGAGGACAGCACCATCACGTGACAAGTCCCCTGTCACCGAGAAAGCGGGGCTGCCGTTAGTCAATAAGCAAACAGGCCCGGCTGGTGGGGCTCAGTGGTGAGCGTCAACCTATGAACCAGGAGGTCAGGGTTCCATTCCCGGTCAGGGCACATGCCTGAGTTTCGGGCTCCATCCTCAGTACGGGGCATGCAGGAGGCAGCATATCCATGATTCACTCTCATCACTGATCTCTCTCTCTCTCTCTCTCTCTCTTTCTCTCTCTCTCTCTCCCTTCCTCTCTGAAATCAATAAAAATAAAAATAATAAAAAAATAAAAAGCAACCGCCAATCGTGGGCAGGGATACAGCAGGAAGACGCAACAGCCAGAGAATAAAAGAATCACACAATCCCAGGGACGCGAGTACACATGGATCGTACGGAGCAGGACCTGACCTTGGGAACAACGTTGCAGCAAGTCTCTGGGGTCAGGGTACTGTGGGCCAAGCTGGCAGGTGGGACATGGCAGGGCGGGGCAGGCTCTGCCCAGGGTCCTGGGGGTGGAGCACCCCCACCTGGCAGGGCTGGGAAGTAAAGTCAAAGCTGAGCTATTTCCAGCTTGAGCTGCAGCCAAGCCCAGCACCTCCCTCTCCCTCCCCTTCCGCGGTGGTGACTCATGCTGACAGCTGCTAAGGAGCCCGAGGACACAGGGCAGCCTCTTGCTCCATGTCCTGGGGTTGATGAGGGTTTTCTGAACCGGGCAACCCGGACCCGTCTCCTCTGTGCAACTGTCCTCCGGGTCCCGGGGAAACGGGGAGCTGTCAGATCCAATCGGCGGATCTGCCCCCGCCCACAGGCAGGGTTTCCGCACTTCTCGCAGTCCCAGGAGAGCTGCGGTCCCACAGGCCAGTGCCTGGGAGCCTTCTTTATATATTTTATATTTATATGTTTACATTGACTTCAGAGAGGAAGCGGGAGGGAGAGAGATCAATGATAGTGATGAGAGAGAACATGGACCGGCTGCCTCCTGCAGGCCCCACTAGGGATGGAGCCCACAATCCCGGCCTGTGCCCTAACCGGGAATCGAACCCTGACCTCCTGGTTCCTGGGTCGACCCTCAAGCACTGAGCCATGGCGGCCGGGCCTCTGACATTCCCCAGATCACGGCCCCCAAGGGCACAGGTCACTGAAGGTCACGGTAGCTCCGCAGCCCGGTGGGGGGACGCTGCCTTCACAGCGAGCCCAGGGGTCTCCAGCTGCACCCGGGAGGCAAGACTGCAGGGCCTGACCCGGGACCCCGGCGTCCATGACTCCGTCCTCGAGTCAGAAATTGCAAAACAGCATCAGCCAGAGGAGTCTGTCTGCCAAGTGGGGTTTGAGGTGACCACGAGAGGGGACACAGGTAACTGGATAGTTGAGATAAGTCATCCGCATACTTCTTCTCCTGGCTGCGGCGGCTGCGGTGGTGGCGGTGGTTGTATCCGCGTTGGGTACTGCGTGGCCTGGCAAGGGCCAGTGCTTCCTCTTGCTCCTGATGGTCCTCTATCACTGGCACTTCCTCTTCCTCCTCCGGGAAGGTATATGTCCATGTCGTACTGGTCTGCACCGCCATCTGGAAAATGAATGAACTGCCCGGGTTTGCCGGGCAGTGCAGGTCAGCTCCGCGGGGCCCTCCCGGAAACACGGGCCATGTGCCCGAGGGTCACCCAGACCCTGAGATCCACAGCAGGCTCAGGCGCCAGGACCTTCTGGGTTGGCACCAAGCAGGGCACAGGGAGACCAGGTCCTCAGGGCGCAGCCAACGCGCTCGGGTCCCTGGTCGCCGGCCTCTCAGGAGGACCCCTCCGACCTGGCCCTACCCCTGTGGGGCGTTTGGATTGGTCTGCTGTGTGGCCCCAAGGGCACCCCTGCCCTTCACCCCGCCCCCCACAGAGGCCCTGTCTCCCTCGGGCTCTGTGGGCCTTGGGCCTAGGGACCCACCTCCTCCCAGCCCCGCACACCAGAGCACAGGGCCTGGGAGGTGAGGGGCTGAGTTAGTGTTTGGTGACTCACATGCCAGAGTCTAACGGCAGGGCCTCCGGGCCTGGGGGCGGGTTTGGGGGAGCGGGGGTGTGGACAGGCCAAGGGCAGCTTTACTCCTGGGGCTCCAGGACCAAGCGGATGGGGAGCCTGGAGGATGCAGAGGGCCTGAGGAGTGTGGGTAACAGGGCCCCGCAGATCCCCAAATCCCCAAGTTAGAGATGTTGCTGTGTGAGTAGCGGTTACATTGTCCGCTTAGGGAATCATGACAGGAAAACCATGTCTGCACCTGTTCAGTTCGAGTTGGTTTAGGCCTAACTACACAGTGATGTCAGCAACAATGTAACAACATAACTAACCACCCAGTGACGTCAGCAACAATGTAACAACATAACTAACCACCCAGTGACGTCAGCAACAATGTAACAACATAACTAACCACCCAGTGACGTCAGCAACAATGTAACAACATAACTAACCACCCAGTGACGTCAGCAACAATGTAACAACATAACTAACCACCCAGTGACGTCAGCAACAATGTAACAACATAACTAACCACCCAGTGACGTCAGCAACAATGTAACAACATAACTAACCACCCAGTGACGTCAGCAACAATGTAACAACATAACTAACCACCCAGTGACGTCAGCAACAATGTAACAACATAACTAACCACCCAGTGACGTCAGCAACAATGTAACAACATAACTAACCACCCAGTGACGTCAGCAACAATGTAACAACATAACTAACCACCCAGTGACGTCAGCAACAATGTAACAACATAACTAACCACCCAGTGACGTCAGCAACAATGTAACAACATAACTAACCACCCAGTGACGTCAGCAACAATGTAACAACATAACTAACCACCCAGTGACGTCAGCAACAATGTAACAACATAACTAACCACCCAGTGACGTCAGCAACAATGTAACAACATAACTAACCACCCAGTGACGTCAGCAACAATGTAACAACATAACTAACCACCCAGTGACGTCAGCAACAATGTAACAACATAACTAACCACCCAGTGACG